TCTGCTGCCTTGCCCTCCCTCCTGGATTACACAAAGCCTTTAAATTTTAGCCAGAGGCTAATGGAGTCTCTGGTGTGGTTTGTTATTGTTATGATTGTTTTAGTCCAGGCTGCCTGTGATAGTTAATGTTTTAAACTTTTTTATATTGTTTTGTATTTTGTAAGCTTCCCAGAATCCACCAGAATGGGTGACCATAATAAATTTAAATACAACTCAACAATGTGTAACCCATTGGATCATCCTTTCAGAGAGATTTTCTTACCAGATTCCTGAATGCCTTCAGCAACAACAGCTTCTAATATACTGCCTTCACTGGAAAAATTGAGGATATATTCAGAGATGTAATAGCTCATCTAGATCTGGATAACACAGTCAAGCATCAGCACAGATAATGTTTTATGACATTTTGTATTACATCATAAATGCCTGATGGTAATTTTTATGTCATAAAACCTTTCATAAAATTTGCATTTTTTTCATTCCACAGGAGTTCTAGGTTTCGGATTTTGGGTGTGTTCTGCGTTAGTCCGCTTAACGTACCTTGGTCAAAAATGATTGCCCTATGATACATGTTTCACCCAGTTAAAGATTACAGACGTTGAGTTTTAGTAGATATTTTTAAATGTTTTTATTTCATCATTGACATATTTATTTTGAGAGTGTGAGCCATTCAGAGTTTAGCTTAAGATAGGCAGCCATGTAAATGTTTAAATAAATAAATAACAAAACAACACAGGAGAAATTTGGGGTGGGGATGTGAATCTAAAAATAAAAAGAGATGCAAGGAATTCATTCCCCCCCCCTTGCGATTTCCCTACATTTGCAGTTAAAATCAAGCCAGAATGCAAGAGACCTCTAGTATTAGCTCTCCCATTACACAACTTCTTGTGCTTTTATAGTTATAACTTTGTGAAGTTATAACCTTGTGCTTGTCATGATAAATGCCTAACTACCATGTCCCCCTGATCACCCGGACCTTCAAGGGTTAACTAACCACATACCCCATAAGTCTTATAACCACTCCTTACCTCTTGGCCCCTCCTCCTGGGTACAAAAGGTCCAACCACATGGTCCACAGGACATTCCAGATGTATACCTGAAAGAGAAAGGTACAAGGTCAGTGACCTCCCGTACCAACAGATCAATAATAAAGTTACAGAAAAGAGTTGGAGTCTGTCTCTGAGTTATTGGGCTAGATCCAGCTTATAACAGTGCTAGGCCAGTGATGGTTAACCTTTTTGGCACTGAGTGCCGAAACTGGAGTGCGTGCGCATGTTGGAGCACCAGAACCTGAAAGAGAACAGCTGTCCGGCTGTCCGGCACGTGTGCGCACGATGGAACCTGGAAGAGCACTGGCGATGGCAGATGTGCCCACAGAGAGGGCTCTGCGTGCCACTTCTGGCATGCATGCCATAGGTTCGCCATAACAGTGCTAGGCTGTCTTAAATATCTAGGACAGGGATCGTCAACCTTTCGGACCTCAGGGACAACTATATTCATAGTTTTAAATTCCGCGGACCACTAATATGATCTGCCCAATGACCGGCTGGGTGGGCGTGGCTAGGTGGTCATGTGACTGGGTGGGCGTGGCCAACTCAATGTCACTCACGTCAAGGGGCACCTCACCAGCCTCTATTCGCCCCTCCCAGCCACTCCTCACCTGCCTGCCCAGCCTCCTTAGGGCCCCAACAGGAAGCAGTTGTTGGAGCTAAGCAGCCACCATGAGAAAGAGTTGGCAAAACAGCTGGCTCAGTTCAAATTGGATCTGGCCGAGAAGAAGGCTCAGCAGAAGCACCTCACTGAGGACTACGAGCATAGGCTTTCCAAGCAGAGAGAAGACCTGGGGAGTGCAAGGCCAGGTACCGGCACCTGGAGGCTCAGCGGGCTGAGATGGTCAGCCAGTTCCAGGCCATGATGCAGTCCCAGTGGAACAAGGCCCTCTGGCTCTTTGCCACCAGTGGTGCTTCAGCAAAGCCCCGCACCAGGAGGCTGAAGCAGATCTCAAGTTGGAATTTCTACCTTGCTCCGACCCACAAAAAAAGATCCCGAAGGGGGAGAACTTTTGTGCAGCAACACAAAAGTTCATTGCACGTATTTGTCCCAGGGGCCGTAGTTTGAGGACCCCCGATTTAGTGCAATATAAAAAATGCAAATAATTTTTCTGCAGACCACCAAAATTTTCTTGCAGACCACCAGTGGTCCCCGGACCACCAGTTGGTGCCCGCTGATCTAGGAAACAAGATCTTAAGAGGTCACCGGTCTGGGGAATATGGGAGAATATTTTTTGTCACTTGTGCTCCTATTGGCAATCTGAAATGGTACTGTTCTTTCTCATGCTTAGGTTTTCTTTTCCCTTGCTCTTGAGATTAGAACCTGAATGGCAATTGCCTTGTTCTTTCTTTGCACTGAGGCCATCAAAGGCTGGCAGTTGGTCCTCTTAGGAGAGGAGGGAGCACAGGAATGTGGTCCAGCAGCTATTAAACATTAACTGCATCATTAAAGAAAATACTTGAATTGGGCAATACTGGCCGTTGCCTGAGAAATAAGGAGTGCCCCTTGAATGCATTTCCATAGACAAATTGAATAGAAACTTTATTTAGTCATTTGATCATATCAAAAGTGATCAATACAAATATATATGTTAATCCAAGGGAAAAAAAATAGGACGTCACCCAGTGGTGAAATCCAATTTTTTTTAACTACCGGTTCTGTGGGTGTGGCTTGGTGGGCGTGGTGTGGCGTGGCTTGGTGGGCGTGGCAGGGGAAGATACTGCAAAATCTCCATTCCCACCCCACGCCAGGGGAAGGATACTGCAAAATCCCCATTCCCACCCCACTCTGGGGCTAGCCAGAGGTGTGGTATTTGCCGATTCTCCGAACTACTCAAAATTTCCGCTACTGGTTCTCCAGAACCTGTCAGAACCTGCTGGATTTTACCACTGATGTCACCCCTACACTTTATTGTTCTGGCCTTAAAAACTAGTCTTTTATACAGTAGCAGCAAAAGCCAGAAACAGAAATCTCACAATTAATGTAATTTCTACAACTCAGTTGCACAGATGTTAAGGACAGAAAATTCAACTATAGTGCATGTTAATCCCACTATACGCTTAGGTGTCTTCAGTGTTTTTAAAAAATTGTTGTTTAAATCTTGCACAGTAGTGCTAAAGCAAAATGTTATTAACATCAGCTGCCTGCAATTACTGCAAGTTCAAATCTCACCAGACTCAAGGTCGACTCAGCCTTCCGTCCTTTCTAAGGTAGGTAAAATGAGGACCCGGATTTGTGGGGGCAATAAGCTGACTTTGTATAAAATATACAAAAGTATGAAGGCTATTGCTTAACGCATTGTAAACTGCCCTGAGTCTCCGGAGAAGGGCGGCATATAAATAAATAAAAAAATAAAAAAATAGAGAGCAGTGATCCTCTGTGGCACGAATGGTGGCACTTTGGTACACATTGATCCATGCTTATTTGCGGGAGAGGCAGCAGATTGTGTGATTTTTTTTCCCACCCAGCAGTGGCAGAGGGGCAAAAATCAGAGCAAAAATGCATTTCTTCAGAAGCCCGAAGCATGTAGAATACGTGCTTTTTCTTGGGTTTCCAAAACCAAATCAAATTGGGAAAAATAAGTTGCACGGTCCTCATGCAACGCTCTGGAAAGCTAATGGCGCATCTTAAATTGAGAGTGTGAAAACGAATGCAAAATCACAACTCATTTTGTTTAGCTCAGGGCTAAGAAATCCTCTCTAGAGGAACAATAACAGGAGATGTTAGTCTAAGGCGGTAAAAAACAACAACAGGTGCCTGGTAGCACCTTTTCTAACCAACACCTTTTGTTAAAAGACATACTAAGCTATCCGGAATTGCTGCTGATGAAAGTACATGCCTTTTAATAAGGCATGCGATTTCATAAGCAGCTATTCCAGATAGCTTTATAATAAATCGTGTTAGCCAGAAAAGATACTTACAAGTCAGTATCGCTGCTATGACACAGCAGATTGTTGCCTGCATCAAAACACTTGTGGGTTGAAATCTGTGGATGTCTGCCTCCAAAGATGGGAGGCAAATGTGATAGATGTGATAGATAGGGAGTGGATAGGCCCGCATCTTTACAGAGCTAGCAAATTATCCGTGGGCAACATTTTAAGGAACAGTAAGGAACAGTTTATTACAGTCAAGGGGATATATATGAGTAATAAAAGTACGCGAGCATTACTCGTATGTACAGCTTACACGAAAGATAAAAAAGAGGGTATCATAGAGAAAAAAACATACCTGATTTTTATATTTATTTTAAGATAAATATAATATAATCTTATATAAGATTATATTATATTTATTTTTAAGATTTTTACTCCGCCTTTCCTCCAGGCTCCCAAGGCGTCTGATTTCCCCTGCTTCTCCCCAAGGGACCAAAAGCGCGCGCCAAGGATCCCCATCCAAAGCCCCTGTGCAAGAGGCCACCTCAGACAATAGATTAACAGACTTGGAAGGGACCTTGTAGGTCATCTAGTCCAACCCCACCCCCCACTCCGCCTAAGCAGGAGACCCTACACCATTTCTGGCAACCCCAAGGTCGGGGGAGGGTCCGTTTTTGGCACGTTTTTTTCCTCCTTCTCAAAGGCTCTCCCGTATTTCCCCCCCCACCACCACCGTTGGTAGGTCCAAGGATCCAGAAACGCGCCAGGGTGTGTGTTTTCCACCCGCGAGTTTGTTCAAGGAGGCGCGTTTTTACGCGCCGGCCTGGCTTCTTTCCGGAGCGGGGAAAGGGCGCAGAGGAGAGCGAGAAAACGCCTCTCTGCTTGGCGGCTCAAAATCAAAAACCCTCCTTTCCCTGGGGAGCTGGAAGCGAGATTTCTCCGGGAAAGGCTTAGCGGACGTGGGGGACGTGCGGGAAAGGGATCCCTTTTTTGGGGGTGGTGGGGTGGGGATGGCCGGAGGGCCCTCCTCCCCTTCCTGCTGAGCGAGAAGGAGGCGGCCGGCAGCCGGCGAGGCTTCTTTGCCAGCCCTTGCCTGGCCATCTCTCCGCGGCTCAGCCAATGGCAGCGTAGGAAGGGGGCAGGTTTTTCCACTTAGTCACTCTCGCGTGGAGGAAAAGCAGAGAGAAAAGGAGCATCCTTTTTATTTATTTATTTTTTTTCCCCCCGGCGGGGTTGAGGACTGGACCGCTGGGGTCTTTTTTGTTGTTGTTGGTTTTTCCTTCCCGCCAATCCCCCCCTTCTCAGAGAGCCGGGAAAGCGGCGCGCCTCCTTTCTCCATCCTCTCCGGCCCAGCTTTTTTTTTGGGGAGGTTGCCTTCCTTCTCTCGGGGGCTGCCTGTCCGGCTAAGCCGGACCCTCCGGTTTGCAGGATGATCGCCGCACAGCTGCTGGCCTATTACTTCACCGAGTTAAAGGATGACCAGGTCAAAAAGGTAATATATACAAATATATACATAATATTGTTATATATATATACAAATATATATATAAAGGTCGCGCGAGGTCGCAGCTCCGCGGGGCCTGGGCGCGGGAAATGCCGCGCGCAACGGCGCATTCCTCTCTCTCTCTCTCTCTTGCGCGCACACCTGCCTCTCTTGCTTTTTTGTTTGGTTTTTTTTTGCACCTGGGGAAATGGGCTCCCGTCGCTTTTCGGGGTCGCGGAGCAGCCGAAAGAAGCAGCCCGCTGCAATGTCCTTGAAAGGGTGGGTGGGGGGAATGTAGGTGTCATAGCGGCGGGGAGACTAACGCCGCCGTCATGGTTTCCCCCTCCCTGCTCAGGGCGGAACTTGCCGAGAGAATCGTCCACGAGGGACGGAGGATTCAGGGCCTAAGGGTTGCCTCCTCGTGTGCAAAAATCAATGCATGGGCATTGGGGGTGGGGGTGGGGGGGTTGGCTGCCGAGGCAGGTTTGAGTGACCCCCCCCATGATATATTCCTCTCATATCTAGCAAAAACGAGACTTTGGAGGCGGTTGCATCTCCCCCCCCCCAAGGGTGGCTCTTGGGCACGTGCCTCAAATTTTTGGTCACCTCCTTAAATGATTCTGGGGTTCACTCGTGGGGAATCCACAAAAGCTTCTCCATCCCCCCCCCGAAATAAAACCACCAAAGGCCGGATGGAGATCGGTGGATTAAAAAAAAAAATAATGGGGAAAAATGTAGACCTCTTCTGCAGCTCTTGTAATAATTACCTGAAAGTTGTCTCGGAGGACTCAAAAATACCGTAGTCCTAAAAAATTGTGCAAAATTATTTCCTGACTCTTGGATGGAGTCAGGAAATCGGGTTCAGGTTGCAGGGCCAAGCTTTTTTTTTTTTTTTTAATTAATTTTAATTTTTAGTTTTCTCAGTGTTGTAGGGCACTGCAGACTTTGCAGACTGTATTTTATTAGGAATGGAAGGTGAGCAGTTCTGTATTGGAAGGAAGTGTTTACGATTACTTAAGAAAAGGAAGTGATCCATTGCTATATTGTGACTTGCAAAAAAAGGTTGCCTGTGAACTCGAAGCATAAGTTTTATTAATTACCGGTGACTTTAATCTGATATTTAATGTGTTTTGTGTCAGTCACATTCTATTAAGAGGATAAGGATTTTAATATGAGATTGAGACCCACTTTGGAGATCATAAGATTTTTTTTTCTAAATGGTAACGTGTAGCTCTTGCAATAAGGAAAACATACACAGACAGCAATGGCAGTAACAGAAGAAATAGTTTATGGCCAGGGTGGGGAGCCACTTTCTCCTGCGTGTTATTTGTACATTGTACAGAAATATCTTCTTCCTGGTTTCCTTGGAGGAGGAGAGTATGGCAGCAGACAGTCAGCTGAAGGTTATGACCTTTTGCCTTTTAGTAAAAGTTGCTAGTTAGAAAAGAAACTACCAGATTCCTTTGGATTCCATTTTTTGCTTTATTAAAAATACCTATATCACCTTTTTCATGTTTCTGCTCCTGCTATCTCACAAAACATAGCCAATACTTTAAAGTAAGTGAAGCTAACTGTGAATATGCAGAAAAACAATGATTTCATCTGCTGTGATAAAATATTGGTGGATTTTTTTTTTGTAGGAGAATGAACATCTCTCCTTTTAATACTAAGAAAAATAATTGGTATTAGTACTAAAATAATAGGTAAAATAATACTTTGCATTTAGCTGTTTTGAATTGAAAACTTTAAACTTTAAGCTAAAAATAATACTGTAAAAGTAGTAATAATAAAGTAGTAAAGTAATACTACTTTAAAATAAATCATTTGTCTTCCAACAAAGAATATTTTTTTTTATTGAAAAAGTTTTTCAAATACAATTTTTCCCCCTTCCCCCCCTCCACCCTAACCCCCCTCCCCCTCCCCTCCCCCTGTGGCTTCTCCAAAATAAAACCCAAATTAATAACAGATTATATAACACTTTACCATCCTTTTGTACCACCCCCATATACTAACCCTTTCTTTCTAACAATATTATTATATCCCCCTTACACTATACATTTCAAAAACAACATTCAACTGTAAAATTATATAATAAATTCTAATCTAGCAATTTCATCTATTCAACTCATAATCTATCCTAACAATATCATTATATCCCCCTTATACTATACATTTCAAAGCAACATTCAAAGCAACTTTCAGCTGTAAAACTATATAATAAATCCTAATTTAGCAATTTCAACTCATAATCTATCCATTCCAACAAAGAATATTGAAAAGAACCACGATGCTTCATAAAATATAAAGCAGGTCTTAGTTATTAGAGGTCCTGTGTATATTCAGAATTCTTATATTTTGCTACCTTGTTGGAAAAGTTAATTCTTATTCTAGATGGAGAAGTTTTAGATGATCAATATTAGATGACTGTGATAACTTGTGACTCTAGTGTGTGTGTGTATGTGTGAGAAAGAGAGAGAGAAGTTGGGGTAATACATTATACTAAGCTATGGTTTGTTTGTTTTGATCATGGTTTTCTGAATACATTAGAGTGAGTGATTTATATGTCAGTGCTAAGCCATAAACAATGGTTTTCAAACTTAATATTTATGTTTAGACAGAAATTAACAACATGATGAACTCCATTGAAACAAAGAAAGATGAAAGCAAGTCCAATTTTGATAGTTGATGTTGAGACAACCCCTTAATGTTCCAGAATTCTTCATAAGAAAAAGAATTAGCTATTTATGACATTATGGGAATCCACCCCCTTCTAGAAGAATCAAATATTTTGGGAAATATTAAAAGAAGCAGAATATTATATTTCCCCAAAAGGAGAAATGGAGAAACATGCTCTTAGAGGCAGAAAGCAGCCCCAATTTCCTGTATAGTAAAACAGCCTCCAGCAGAAATCTTTAGAGATGGTGATGTTGGACCCATTAAGAAATCCTGGGGGATCGGATTAAAATTTACATCCTTCCCCCACCCAGTTTCTAAGGACAGGACATGACCTTTTAGGACATAATAAGATTAACCCACCACCATTAGAATAGCAAAAGACATTAGGCTCACTACCTGTTTCCCCCAAAATAAGACACCCCCTGATAATAAGCCCAATCGGGCTTTTGAGCGCATGGCAATGAAGCCAAGCACTTATTTCAGGATTCAAAAAAATATAAGACAGGGTCTTATTTTCAGGGAAACACGGTACATTGCACAATCCCTGCAGCATTTCAGAAATTGTTTAAAAATCCTTGCACTCATCAAGCTAATTTGTCAGGCTGTAGTTCTTGCTCATCAATAAACTTTCCTACCAATCAGCCTCCATTTTATATCCAGTGCCTTTCTCCCAGCTTGGAACTGAACCAGATGGATTTTTCTTCCTACAACATGATTTTTTTTGTTTTATGTTGCACAGAAGTATATGGTTGATTAAAAATGCAGACAAATGAGAACATTGATGTTTTTAAGCCAATATAATAAGAAAGCCACTTGAATTAGGGAGTCATAGAGGAGCCCAGATGAGATAGACATGGGACACAAATTGATTCAAAAAACCTGGAAAGAAACTATTTCTTGAGCACTAATGTTTGCTTAAATTCTGACAGTTGCTACCCATAGTCCCATTGTAGATGGAAGAATTGTCAGTATGCTGTACTCCTGCCAAATAAGTAAATAGTTATTTACTTTTAACAAAATAGTTAGCTGCTGCTTTAAAATTGTTGCCTTTATTTGCAATTCCTCAATCACAAAAGTCTGTAAATCTCCTAAGTGAAACAAGGACTTAAAAAACTTTTACAAGATCTAGATTGAGCATGTACAAGTTGTAACTGGCCTGTAGTAAATTCCACTTTGTCGTTAAGGAGAAACTTCCTAACAGTGAGGACAATTAACCAGTGGAACAGCTTGCCTTCAGGAATATGGGCGCTTCATCATGGGATGTTTTTAAGAGGAGTCTAGACAATTGCTTACCTGAAATAGTATAGGTCCGTGATGGCGAACCTATGGCATGTGTGCCACCCCTCTCTGTGGGCACGCAAGCCATTGCCCCAGCTCAGCTCCACTGCGGATGTTGCGTGTCTCCCGCTGGCCAGCTGGTTTTTGGGTCACTGCTGCGCATGCGTGGGGGGCGGGGTGCATGCAGGAGATGCACACGCATGTGCGGGGAACAGGGCGCACACGGGGTTGTGTGTGCATGCGCGGGGGGGTGGGGCAGGTGGGGGGGTCGCATGCGCATTGCATTATGGGTGTGCACGCGCACGCTTTGGGCACTTGGTGCCAAACAGGTTAGCCATCACTGGTATAGGTTCTCCTGCTTGGGGCGGGGGGGGGGTTTGGGGGGCTGGAATAGGAGGCCTCCAAGGACCCTTCCAGCTATCCTATCCTATCCTATCCTATGATGGTAGAAATTGGTAAATACCATCTTGAGTGTTTCAGCTTCTTTGGGCAATCTGGTTGCAGTAGATGTAGCATTCTTCCATTTTTGTTGGAATCTCATCTGACTCAGATGTCCAGGTTTTATTTAGGATAGATAAATAGTGATTCTTTTTGGATGGTTGAGGGTTTTCAAGTACAGTTTTCTTTTCCAGATGGCAGCTGAAGATTTTTTTTTGCTGTCCATCTTGGGGAGCTTGAAAGGGTTGGAACATCCCAGCAGTTTGATACTCTCCAAATACTTTGGTGTGTTCATGTTTCACGTGGCAGCTGAACTGGATCAAGGCACAACCTAAGAGTTTGTCCCAAGATTGCCTTATAACTTGGCAGCACCGTGTAGAGTCAGTAGATGGTATATAGACAGATAAGAGTCATAATGTTTCCCTGTTCTTCTCTTGTATTTAGAAAAGTTGTAATGTTTGCAAAGAGATGGGCCAAATGGAATTTCAATTTCTGTATGGATTTCAGTGATGATATTTCCATGCATTTGGATGGCCAACTGATATTTCAGAGTGTGAATGTTGATTGTTAGGTGCAACTAGAAAATGCTGTTCAGTTGGGTGCTGTAAATAAACTGT